GAGTCTCACTCTGTCGTCCAGACTGGAGTGCAGCGGCCGCTCCCGGCCACCACAGCCTCGACCCGCCGGGCTCCGGCGATCCTTCCGCCTCAGCCTTCCAAGTAGCCGGAACTCAGGCGCGCGCCACCACGCCCGGCTAATTTTTTGAATTATTGTAGAGATGAGGTCTCGCCAAGTTGCCCAGGGGGATCTCGAACCCGCGGGCTCAGGCAGTGCACTCACCTCGGCCTCCCAAAGGGCGGGATTACAGGCTGAGCCACCAAGCCTGGCTTACACTAATTATTTTTAAAATACTATAGTATTGCTGTCATAGGTTGAGTACCCCAGGAAATAGACTCTGAGATTTGCATACTGAAGGTTTATTGAGTACTCTTGGGAACAACAGCTGTGAGGAGTAAGGGAAGCAGAAATGGGCGGGGGAGAAATTGAGGCGAGGAGTCTTTATCCCCACCCTCAGCCCGCAGTAGCCAGTCATCAGGCAGTTGTGAGCCCTCAGCTGCCAACGCTCCCAGCAACTGGGACAAGTGCCTTGATCCTGGGGTGGGACCTGGGTGGTGGTGCTCCAGGTTGTCTGCCGCAACTGCTGACTAGTACTTTCACTTCCCAAGTCTCTCCATGTGTGTTATTGCATTTTACCTACTCAATAGCCTGTGAGATGGATGGGACCAGGTAGGGATCATTCTTCCCTGTTAATACGCAGGGAAATGTAAGTCATGAGAATGTCACATTCATGCCCAGAGCCACCCAGTCATCGCCACTCCACGGGTTGTGTTCGTTTTTTCTTACGTCTGGAGTTTATACAACTGTGGAATATGGGAACTAGAAATGATAGCAAATGTCAAGAAGTCCAGCCACTTCACTTCAAAAGTAAGAAGGCAGGATTGGAGAAGGGAGATGATTTCACCAAAGGCAAGCTGTAAGTCTGTGGCAGAGGCCAACCTCATGAGCAGAGTTCCTTCACCCAAGAGCCATTACATAAGATGTGCTGGGCACAGTGTGCCCCAGGAGCTGCAGACATGAGCAGGTGACAGGCCCTGCCCTAGAGGATTTTAGAATGTAGTAGGTTTCTTCAGCCTCATTTAAATAGTTTTAATGAGACAGAATGAAACTTTTTGTTCTAGGTTTTTCCTCTTGTATCATCTTGTGAAGTCTAAACCAGAAGAAAACAGCCTATTGTTGCTTCAGAATGAGCTAGCTGTGTTCCCGGTGTTCTAAACCGCCTGTGAGCGGTCGCTTATAAAGTCAGATGATCCCTGAGGACACACACAGGCGACTTGTGAGAATCCCTTGGTCCTCCATTGGCAAACCAGTACCACGGTAGAGGTGCCTAATACCAAGAAAGCAGACTCTGCCTTTCTTTTCTCCTCTTTAAATGACTTTACAGCATTTCTGTGACCCTTTATTCCATTTCTGGGACACGAAGATAACAGCCAAATGAGGTAAAGTGGGTGGATTTGGGGTTTATGAAGTCACAGACCTAACCTCGTGGCAAACTTTTGTCCCATAGCTAGGACCAAAGTGGTGCATATCTACCCTGGGACAGGCAGGGGACATGTGCCTTCGTATGATTCAGCTCTCCCCACTGGCGTTTCCCAGTCAAAACTTCTTTTGGCCACTGTTTACGGTCCCTTGTTTCTCTATTGGGGTGGTTAGTCAACTGCCTTAACCCTGTTTAATAAACCAGGTGACACTCTGATCTCTCCTCATATCATATAAATCTTTCATCTTTTACTAAACATTTCTGTAGAGAGGAACAACTTCACGTTTTTCACTAATTTTTTGAGGCCTTGCTTTGGCAGGACTAATATAAAGTGACCCAGGCATGGTGACTCACTATAATCCTAGAACTTTGGAACACTGAAGCAGAAGGATTGCCTGAGCCCAGAAATTCAAGTCCAGCCTGGACAACATAGCAAGAACTTGTCACTACTGAAAATCAAAAATTTAGCAGGGCATGGAGTCGTGTGCCCGTAATCCCGGCTACTCAGGATGCTGAGGCTGAAGAATTGTTTGAATCAGGAGGTTGAAGCTGGGGTGACCTATGATCATGCATGCCACTGCACTCCAACCCTGGCAACAGAGTGAGACACCCCCCAACTCAACAAACAAACCTAGGTGAACCTGACAAAAAGTCCCCTCTACCTCCCAGATTTCTCAGAGAGCTGCCCACAAGGGCAGAAACTTACATGCAAATCTGGCCTAGGACATTCTGTTTAGAAATGTGCATGGGAACATAGACCTTAAAATAAATTAGACTGCAGGCCAAAAAATAATTTTAATACAAAGTAGAAAGGATCACTCCACCTCATCATTTTGCTTGCTCTCTTGCTCTATCAACTTCTTTTCTGAGACGCCGAGAAAGCGGGGGGAGCAGGCTGTGTCTCAGAGGGGCTGTCCATATGGGAAAGAGTCACTGGAGACTTGCATCCAGATCTGGAGGAATGCTAGCGCCCTTTAGATCTGGGATCAGACACCAAATGATAAAATAATTTACATGTGGGTCATTTCCTCCACCAGTTCCATTTCTTCCTCCTTACAGTCAAAGGGCAGCTGTATCATCTTGGACTCATGGGGACCCAAAGTTGCTTTTAAAGAACCTGCAAAATAAATGCATAATAAGGAAGGGTAAACTTCTTAGGGGAGAGGGTAGAAGAACCTGGGCCTTTGAAAGTATTTTCTGGCCGGGCTTGGTGGTTCAGCCTGTAATCCCAGCGCTTTGGGAGGCCGAGGTGAGTGGATTGCCTGCGCCTGCGGGTTCGAGACCCGCCTGGGCAACTTGGCGAGACCTCATCTACAATAAATCAAAAATTAGCTGGGTGTGGTAGCGCGCGCCTGTAGTTCCAGCTGCTTGGAAGACTGAAGCGGAAGGATCGCTGGAACCCGGCAGGTGAGGCCGCGTTGGCCGGGAGAGCCGGTTGCACTCCAGTCTGGGCGACAGAGTGAGACTCCAACTCAAAAAAAAAGGAAAGTATTTTCTTTCTGACTGAGGAACTAGCACGCAAGCAGGAGGAGGAGAGGGGAGGTGAATTTGGGGAAGGAAGGAAGAGACAGAAACACGGACCTTCTCTGCTGAGAGATGCCCTTTGCTGTTATTCATGTTGATATTCTTCATGGAGATGAGGGTGATGCTGTCTTTCTCTCCATTGGCTGTGGAGCAGCTGGGGGAGGAAGGGGAGTCTGGGTTAGAGAGGAGGAGGGTATCTACTTTGAAGAATTGCTGGAAGGATTAGAGATAATATTACAAAATATGTACATCATGCTTGGCACACAGTGGGTAGTCAGTAAGTGGTTCCTAAGCTTGGAGGGGCTGTCTTCTTTATTTGAATCTGATTTCTGCTCTTTTCATGGTGGGGTAATAGAGGCTTTGCTTAGAGGAGTTTCAGTCCGCTGGGCACAGTGGCTCACGCCTGTAATTGCAGCACTTTGGGAGGCTGCAAAAAGAGGAATGCCTGAGCCCAGGAGTTCAAGACCAGCCTGGGCAACATGGTGAGACCTTGTCTCAACAATAAATCAAAAAATTAGCCAGGTGTGGTGGCTCATGCCAGTAGTTCCAGCTGTTTGGAAGGCTGAAGTGGAAGGATCACCTGAGCCCAGCAGATTGAAGCAAGCTGCAGTGGCAATGAGCATGCCACTGCACTCTAGCCTGGGCAACAGAATGAGATTCCGACTCAAAAAAAAAAAAAGAAGAATTTCAGTCCATCTCTTGTCACTTAATTGCTCTTTTTCAGGTCTGTCCTCGTAGTCCGGTGTAGTATGGGTGTGTGTGTGGGGGGGTATAGGATATGTGTATGATATATGTTTGGTGTGGGTATGTGGTACGTGATATGGGATGTGTGTGGTGTGTGTGTGTGTGTGTGTGTGTGTGTGTGTGTGTGGTATGGTGTGTATGGTAGGTGTATGTGGCATAGATATGTGGTGGGTGTATGTGTGGTGTAAGAGGTGCATATGTGTAGTGTGTGGGTGTGTATGGTATGTGATAGGTATGTGCAGTGTGGGGGTGTGCATGTGAGGTGTGGGTATGTGATATGTGGATACGGTATGTGGGGGGTATGTGTGTGTGTATGTGTAGAAGGCAGGAAGTGTTGGTTCCCTCTTGGAGTTGGGGAGTGGGAGTTCAGATAGAAGTTTCTTCCCAGCCGGGCTCGGTGGCTCAGCCTGTAATCCCACGCTTTGGGAGGCTGAGGTGAGTGGATTGCCTGAGCCCGCGGATTCGAGACCCGCCTGGGCGGTTGAGACCTCATCTCTACAATAAATCAAAAAATCAGCCGGGCGTGGTAGTGCTTGCCTGTAATTCCGGCTACTCGGAAGGCTGAGGCAGAAGGATCGCCGGAGCCCCAGCAGGTCGAGGCTGCGGTGGCCGGGAGCAGCCACTGCACTCCAGTCTGGGCGACAGAGTGAGACTCCAACTCAAAAAAAAGAAGTTTCTTCCCTTACACTTCCGACAGTCTTACCTTTCAGACAGCCCGGAACTCCCTGGTTTCTGGGGATCTGTAAAAATCCAAAGGCCCAGATTGGGGTCACATGTTGTAACTCGGGGCCCAGTTCCAAGCCCACCCAAGGGGCCCTCCCAACTCATGCAGTAGTGCTCATGTGCCATTCCTTTCCTCAGCTCCAGGCTGGTGTCAGCTTCGACTCTAGCTCTGGGTCCTCCACAAAGAGGGGCAGGGGGTCCCCACAGTCAGGCATGCACCTTCAGCCTCCTTGTTCTTCTGACACTTAAACCTTAGGCTGACCACACCAACTAGGACAATCACCACGACCACCAGGATGACAATGAAGCTGATAACACCTGAGCAGAGAAGAGAATAAGGTGAAGGGGAGGCAGAGAAGTGGTCTTGAGGGGCACAAGAGTCCAGAATTTCCTTCCAGCTAAGTACTGCGTAGCCAGGATCTGGGGGCAGAGTGAATTCCACTTCTCTGCTGAACAAATGAGCTCTCAGTCAGTGGTCCCTAGCCACAGTGGGCTCCACAGCCCAGCTCTATCCCCCGCATGACAGAGAATCCAGCAGAGCCAAGAAGAGCTGACTAGGAGTCCAGAGGCCTCCCTCCCACCAGGGCCTTCCTCATGGGCCAGAAATTCTTGGAATAAATGGGTGAGATTTGAACCTGTGTTTCCAGACCCAGAGTCCAAGTCAATTTCAACTTCTCCCCCCCGACTCTCACCAAACGCAGCCACAGTGAGCACTGTCTCTGACGTGGGGCTGGGCAGGATGGTCAAGGCTTCTCTTGTGCTCAGGCTCACGATGGTTGAGTTAGAGGTAACATTCTGAGATGTGTCTGAAATGGAGTGGGGTTAAGTGCACTGTGAAGGGGACTGACAAGCCTACCAGAGAGAGCTAGCTTCCCTCTGGCCTCCCACAGGTAGAAGACCACAGAAAGAGCGCATACCCTACGAATAAACTTCCTCCTTGCCACCATGACCAGATCTCATGAGGACAGAGGTCAGAACTGGTGATGTGAAGTCATGTGAACAGCATTGCTAGTTGCTCATGTTACCGGCTCTAGAGGACCCCAGAGGGTTCAGGATGTTCCTCTCATGTGTTCTTCCCACCAGCCCTTGGGGCCCAGAAGAAAGGGAATTATGCTGCAGCGATGGAAAGACAGACCAGGCAAGACCGAGTCATCCGTGTCTGCCAAGGTTTGAGCTGGGAGGTAAGAAGGATCCCCGTGCTTATGCTCAGGCACATCCAACAAGCCAGGCTGCCAGGTGAGGGGAAAATGCAAATGGTTACCCCTGTCTTCCCTCCTCAACTCACTGTGCTTCAGGCCTGATTGCTGTTCCATTATCTCTCCTTACCCCGCTCCCAGATAAGTCAGGAAAGGTAAAAAAAAAATCTGAGAACCAAGGGAGAAGATAAGAGAAAGGGTCACCGACATCTCCCCCGGCTTCTCTTCCTTGTGAGCATAGACAGGACATACCGCTGCTTGTGCTGCTTCCGCCACTGCCACTGCTGCTTGGGGCACCTGTGCCTGCACCACGAAACAGCATGACCAAGATGGCAGGCATCCACCCCCCACAGATCTTCTCCCATTCTGTAGGTTGAGGGTCAATGTGCCCTGAGAAGAGTCTAGCCCTTTCCTGGCCTTTTCTGCCTCTCTTTTCCTTCATTCTGGGGTCTCCTCCTCCTCCCCCTCCCCCTCTGGCTATACCTTCCTTGGTCCCAAGTCCAGGCTCCATTTACCTTCGTTGTGACCAGGCCCCAGCTCCTGCCTCCCTACCGAACCTCTCATTCTTTCCCAAACCAGGGTGCCTGAGATGGATGCTGGACTCAAGACCCCTGATCGTGGGGCAATACTGGGGCTTCCTGAAGACGGAAAGAGGAACCCATCCAGGCATAACCTAGTGTCCTTAACCCCCACCACCCGCCCTGGGCACTCACCAAGTCCTGCTGTGTGTTTCTGAGTCTGGGCCCAAGTTAGGTCCAGAAAGGATGGGGAGGGGCCATCCACGGTGCTTGACCTCGGCGTCACAGGCGTGCTCGCTACCATGGCTGCCTGGGAGTCCTCCTTTGGAGCTGCTGTGAATGAGGAAGGCCACATGGGCCTGCTCAGGGCCTCAGCCAGCAGATGCTCAGGGAGGGCTCTCTAGTCTAAAACCTCCTTTTCTTTACTGCTTTCAGTTCCAGAAGGGGCCATTCTCTCATTCACCGCTGGGCCTTTACCTGTGCAGTTCCCTCTGCCTGGAGGAAGTCCTACTGCCCTCTGCTCCACAGTCTTCACTGCTCATCTAACTCCTTCTCAGGCTCGGCTTCAGAGGCCACCCACTCTGGGAATCATCGCTGGCCTCCCTTTTCTGAAGTGACTGACATTTGTCTGGGCTCCCACAACCCCTTCTGCTTATGACCACCACAGTCCTTCCCACCCTGCTTGGTCAGTCTGTTTCCTTGTTTGTCTCCCTCTAGTCTACATTCTCCTTTAGGGCAGAAACTGCACCTGGCTCCTCACTGGGCCCTCCCTGGACAGCATTTGTAGTCTGAAGGGCACAGTACCTGGGGTACCAATGCTGGACAGAGGGCTTGGGCTGTTAGCCTCTGAGGAAGAGATGTCTCCTGCAAGGACAGGGGCAGATGGGGAGTTGGAAGTGGGAGGTTTGGCAACACTACACTCCCTCGCTCTCTGAAACAGGGGCCGCAGGGCAGGATGGGGAAATCAGCTGCCACACTCACTCACTTGTGTTGGGAGAATGAGCTCTGTGGTCAGACTTATGCTGCCGAAGTCCTGAATCAGACCATCTGAGGCTCAGGAGTGCACTGTACCCCTCTGCTCTGTCTCCCTCTCTTCTTTCCCACATCTGGTGAATCTTTCTCCCCATCCCAGTCCCACTCCCAACCATTTATCTCTCTTCTCCTTTAAGACATGTTAGAGGCCGGGCACAGTGGCTCAAGCCTATAATCCCAGCACTTTGGGAGGCCGAGGTGAGAGGACTGCATGAGTCCGTGGGTTTGAGACCAGCCCGGGCAACTTGGCAAGACCTCATCTCTACAATAAATCAAAAAATTAGCCGGGCGTGGTAGCGCACGCCTATAGTTCCAGCTACTTGGAAGGCTGAGGCAGAAGCATCGCCTGAGCCCAGCAGGTCGAGGCTGCAGTGGCCGTGAGCGTGACACTGCACTCCAGCCTGGGTGACAGAGTGAGACTCCAACTCAAAAAAAAAAAGACATGTCAGACTGGGTCAGGCTGAAAAAAAGCCCCTAGGCGAGCTCTGCCTTGGAGGAACTCTTGAGAGCTCTGGCTCCAGCCCCATCACCTGAGGTTACTGCTAAACTGGTGGAGAGCTCCTCTTGTCCTTCCTGAGCTCCTAGGCCTAAACGCAGGAGGAGACCTGTGTGTTGGATCTTACCCTGAAGACGAGAGGTCTGGGTTGTTGTAGGCTGGGAGTTGTGGCCTGCAGGAGAAAGCAAAGCACATAGACCAGCTTGGTAAGTCTCTTGGCCAACACAGAGTCCAGAGAGGAGCCCAGGCTTCTTACTTCCTAAGCCTCCCATGCTAAAGGCAGACACACTCGGCAGAGGGTTAAAGGACATGGGCTCCAGTTCATGGCACTGGCTTCCTCTGAGACTGTGGCTCCACAGCACTGTCACCACCTCATGTTTTGGAGTCCCAGTGTCTTTTCCTGTCTCTTCAGTCCTACATGGGTATGATACCAACCTGACACAAAGTCAGGGGAAAGTTATTTTATTTTATTTTATTTTATTTTTTGAGTCAGAGTCTCACTCTGTTGCCCAGGCTGGAGTGCCATGGCACGCTCACGGCCACCGCAGCCTCGACCCGCTGGGCTCAGGTGATCCTTCCGCCTCATCCTTCCAAGTAGCTGGAACTACAGGTGTGCACCACCATGCCCAGCTAATTTTTTGATTTATTGTAGAGACAAGGTCTCGCCATGTGGCCCAAGCTGGTCTCGAACTCATGGTCTCAGGCAATCTTCTCACCTCTGCCTCCCAAGTGCTGGGATTACAGGCGTTTGCCACCATGTCCAGCCGGGAAGGTTAATTTAAACTAGTGACATGTCCAAGGACAGAGGGCCAATGACCCACCACATCTAGACAAGGAAGGACCCAGAACTCCAGGTCTTGAGGCTAATGTTTACTCTAAGTTACCACTGGGTCATTCATATCCCCCTGCTCCACACTCCCCCATGACTGTCATCCTGGCCCTGTCCCAAGGTAAGGGGATGGAAAGATGGGAAGGTGAATGAGATGGGGATAGGATCTAGGGCTTGTATCCAGGCTCTCTCTGCCCTTACCCAGCTGGAGGTAGGGTCCTGCACAGGAAGCAAGTTTTGAGGTATATACAGGAGGCAGGAAAGCTCTAGAATGAACAACACATTTACTCATACAAGCAGAGGCCACTTTGGAAATAATTGTGATTGGTCAAGCCCAGGGAAGAGTCGGTTGCCAGGAATCCCGGGTCAGAAGGCCTCCCTGGCTTTCTTGTATAGACACATGTGCTGTGGGCCTCTATGCAGATGTTTTGTGCGGCTGGTGTGCCCCTATGTGTGGAACCTGAGAGGTCAGGTTGTGTTTGCTCGTTTTCCACAATGAAATCATTCTCAAAACCTGTGAACAATGTGAAAGGAAAACAACGCGGGGAAGTGGAGCCGCCCAGCTGGGTTCCCGTCCCTCTGCTGGGTCTGGGACTGTAGCCCCTGGCCAGGCCCTCCTGCTCCCTGGCCTGTCATCGTCAGGGAGGACCAAGCCCAGGCCTGGGTGGACAGAGGCAGTTGCTTGCCAGGGCCCACCCCAGCCTGCGGCACCATGCTGGTCTGTTTATTTTCCTTCAACCGCTGCTGCCTTCCTTCACAGCTATCACTTGGATAGGGTAGAGTTCATTGTCGCCTATGCCAAGCTTGCCCAAACCCTGTGCCATGTTTTTCTAGGTCACTGTTTCTGACACCCCCATTCCCTTGTTGGGTGGGGGACTAAAAGAAAAGTTAAAACTTGTTGGAAGCCGGGCTCGGTGGCTCAGCCTGTAATCCTGCGCCTTTGGGAAGCTGAGGTGAGTGGATTGCCTGAGCCTGTGGGTTCGAGACCCACCTGAGCAACTCGGTGAGACCTCATCTCTACAACAAATCAAAAAATTAGCCAGGCATGGTAGCACGCGCCTGTAGTTCCAACTACTTGGAAGGCTTAGTCGGAAGGATCGCCGGAGCCCAGCAGGTCGAGGCTGCAGTGGCCGGGAGCGGCCGCTGCACTCCAGTCTGGGCAACAGAGTGAGACTTCAACTAAAAAAAAAAACAAAGAAAACTATTTAGTGACTGAGAAGGAGTTCCAAAGTCACAAGCTTCAGGGGGCTTCAAGTTCCAGTTGCATGCTCTCTTTACCTCCCGCCCCTCCCCTTCCACAAACTTGTCACCCAAAAGATTCCTCTGTGAGTAGTGAGTAGTGGAGGGACTTAGGGAACATCTGTGTCTGAAGGCCAGGTGTCTCTGACCACTGCACATGCAGATGCCCCAAGTGCTCTTGTCACGGGAATTTCTGATTTTCCTGGTCTCCCCTCCCTAATTGCAACCTGCTTTATTTCCTTCCAGTCTATTTCAGCCCTCCACCACCCATTTTCCTCAAGAGTATCATTTAGTAGTAAAAATCAGGGATTTTAGAGTCTCACAGGCTTGCGTTCAAGTCCTGGCTCTGCCACTTACTGACTGATCTGGGCCTCAGTTCTCTCTTCTTCAAAATGCAAGTGATATTAGTACCTCACAAGTTGTAAGGAAAAGAAAATGCATACAAGGCACTTAACGCCATGCCTGCCAATCCGTGCTCAATAAATGCTAGATCCAGCCAGGCTCGGTGGCTCAGCCTGTAATCCCGTGCCTTTGGGAGGCTGAGGTGAGTGGATTGCCTGAGCCCGCAGGTTCAAGACCCGCCTGGTCAACTTGGCAAGACCTCATCTTTACAATAAATCAAAAAATTATCCCGGTGTGGCAGCGCGTGCCTGTAATTCCGGCTACTTGGAAGGCTGAGGTGGAAGGATCGCTGGAGCCCAGCAGGTCGAGGTGCGGTGGCCAGGAGCAGCCACTGCACTCCAGTCTGGGCAACTGAGTGAGACTCCAACTCAAAAAAAAAAAAAAAGTTAGACCCTTTGTGCCCCATTCTCTCAAACCCTCCAAGTCTCAGATCTGCCCTGGCTCTGTGTATCTGTTGTCAGGCCCCTTTAGGGACTCAAATGTGTTCAGATTCCTCTGTCCACCAAAGTGGGAGCTGTGAGCACTCAGGATGCACGCTTACGAAATCAGGGTGGTGATAGTGGCTCAGGTAGAGTTTATACAGAGCACTGCCAGGTGCCTGGGGGAGGACAGTGGGTAGGGAAGCTGGGGGAAATCCAGGCCTTTGAACACGCCCCCTCAGGAGCCTCACCTGCAGTTCCCACAACAGCCCCCGACCTGGGATCCTATGGGGGAGGGTGATGGGGACAATCGGAGTTTTACCCCCAGCTCATGGGCTTTTAGAGAAATGTCTCACCTCTCCAGGAGGCAGAGTGTTCTGATACTCTGGCCTTCTCACCCCACCTCCGAGAAAGGGCCCCCATCCAAGCACTATCGGGAATCTCTTTATGCTGCTTTGAGAGCAGAGGACTTGGGGCCGGGGTGGAGGGGCTGGGGGGAACAACCAAAGGGAAGTTGCTGCCCTGTGAGTCAGAATGTCCTGGACTTAGGATTCCCAGCAACTGCTCCCTAATTAGAGGGCCCTACGTGAGCCCTGCTTGAGAGGCATGCATTCCAAATGATCTCCTCCGGAGGGCATCTCATCTAGCCCCCAGATGAGAATGTTATACATATCTCTGTGTCTAACCTGAGTCCCTCTTGCTGTGACTTGAGTTTAAAGTCAACATTTATAATTCCCAGGATATTACTCCTCATAGGAAGGAAGAAGAAAGCTCACCTGGAATGCCCAAGGTGCAGACAATTTTGTGTCAGAGCAGTTGACAGAGTAGTTGGGGTCAGCCCTGCCCCCAGACCAGGGAGTGAGGCACCAGGGGGCAGCCATTGGCTTTTGAGGCCTGCGCAGACCCTAGAAGGAGCTTTCTGGCTTCAGTCTCACACCCAGACACACGCCTCTCACAATTCAGGAGACAGCTTCGATGGGGAGCCCACCCTGGACAACTTCCCACAACAGGGTTTCACTGTATCTCTATTTTACCCCTGCCTGGTCATCAGGACCCCCAACCCAACTAATTTCCTCCATGGAAAGGCCCTGGAATTTCCCTGGGACTCAGCCGCGATGGGAAGCATGTGTGCCCTGAAGGAGGGGCCGGCGCCAGGCCTGTGGGCCGAGGGAGGAATTGGTGAAGGGAAGCCGCAGGCACCTCTTACCTCGGAGCAGAAGGAAGCCCAGGATCGCCCAGCACAGCGGCGTGGCGCCTTTGGTCCCCATGTCAGCGGGGCTTGTGACAGGCAGGCAGCGGCTCGGTGGAGGCTCTGTCCATAGTGGAGAAGAGAGAGGGAGTGCTGGGGCGGGGTGGGGGTGGGGGCTGGCTCTCCAGGAGCTTCCTGTCAAAGAATAGAAGGAAACAGATTGGGACTAGCTCCAGGGGCCCTGCGCAGTGGGTATTCCAGTTGAGGATGTGAGTCTGCAGCCACAGCAGCCACTGTACCCAGGCCTTGCGTGGCCTCTAGGGCCTGTGCACGAGGACCAATGATGGCAACCTGGCCCCATCCCCATTCTCTTTTCTGAGGGGCTCCACCACACACCGCCTGGGCTTTTTTCTGGAGTCTGACTCCCATCTCGCTCCACACCATTTCAGACCAGAGTCTCTTTTCCCATGACTGAGCCCTGAAGCTCAGCCCACCAGTCGCCCAAGCTATGTAGACTCTGAATTCTCCACATTCCTTGCCCTTCTCAGGGCATCCAATGCTGATGGGAATTCCAAGCACTTTCAGAGAGGCCCTACAAACATTATTGTTATTCCATTTTTTTTTTGAGTTGGAGTCTCACTCTGTCGCTCAGATTGGAGTGCAGTGGCCGCTCCTGGCCACCGCAGCCTCGACCTGCTGGGCTCTGGCGATCCTTCCGCCTCAGCCTTCCGAGTAGCTGGAACTAAAGGCTTTTTTTTTTTTTTTAAGAGAGTCACCAGGTGGGCGTGGTGGTTCATGTCTACAATCCCAGCACTTTGGGAGACTAAGGCGAGAGGATTGCCTGAGCCTAGGCATTCAAGACCAGTCTGGGAAGCTTGATAAGACCTTGTCTTCTACAATAAATAAAAAAATTAGCCAGGCGTGGTAGCATACACCTGTAGTCTCAGCTACTTGGAAGGCTGAGGCAGAAGGATCACCTTAGACCAGCAGGTCGAGGATGTGACATCCATGAGCATGTCACTACACTCCAGCCTGGAGTGAGACTTCGACTCAAAAAAGGAAAAAAGGCAGGGTTTGGTGGCTCAGCCTATAATCCCGCGCCTTTGGGAGGATGAGGTGAGTGGATTGCCTGAGCCTGCGGGTTCAAGACCCGCCTGG